GGCAGAACATATTTTCTCGCGAATTTTAATATTATACTAAAGATGTGATAAAAATGGTGATTGTAATTGACATGCTACCCAAATTATTATTATCGTAAGTAGTCTGAAAGATTCGGGATGCATACCCTCCTGTAATAAGATCACTGCCGGTATTTGACGGATGCTTAACTTTTCTTTGCAAATGGATCTTGTAAATTTGACGTAAAATCAGAATAAATTAAGTTTACTCTCCACTAAAGATTGTTCTTCTTCTTTGTATCGGATACTGTAACCAGCGTACGACAAGGCGGAAAGACTTTGGTATGATGAAATTATTGAGATATCTTGAACGCGATGAAATAGTGCTGTTATAAATATCTTAACGACTTTTTATCGCGATATTATTAAGTTTTATATTTACAAATTAATAATTAATGGTAAATATGATCTAATTGTTGTTAGTATTTCTTCTGCGTTTATCAATATTTTATATCAATATTTTATATTTTATCAATATTTACTCCCGGCCGAGGTAATATTTTTTCGCAATAAGAATTAATTATTTACAGATTTTAATATATTATTCATCATTATTAAGATCGTTTCGAAGATGCGAATAAGCATCAAAAATTTGTTAAATTGCTAGTCAATTTAACTCGTGATATTACTGCGGTAGTTTAGTAGAGTTAGCGTTTCAAGACCGGAAATTTTTCGGCGCGCGTTTCTGTGGGACTACATACGTAGTATATAAATTCACATAAGAATCATACAAGCATTAAGATCCAGCTAGACCGTGTAAGGCTTCGATTCTATAGTTTGTGTTATCACATGTACGGTCCTATAATATATTATATTATTCAATATTTTATTAAACATTATGGTTTAGAAAAATTTGTGTTATCGTATGTATTTTCGACGTATTCGTATAATCCCGCATTACTAAAATTATACTTCTATATAATCATTTTTATTATATTTTGAACAGCATTTATGATTGTATATTGTATTTTAAATTATTATTGTAATATTGAATTGTATAAAGAATTTCAATAAACGATGATATCAAACAAATTGTGTAATATGATTGCTAATTATTGTATTGTATTTCGCTATTTATATTGCAATATGATTAGCAAAATATAATAAAATAATTAGACATAAAAATAAAAAATATATTAAAAATATATTCACCTGCAAAAACGGCTTACTAAATTTATTAGTGGCTCGTTTTTTTTTTTGCGGGTGAGTATATTTACCAAGAAAAGAGGACCGCCGATAAAATCGGGGGTGGTGGAGGGCCTCTTCAGGTTGATTTTTGTTTTTATTTATTTAAATTTTCTTTACAACTTTAAATTAAATGTACATGTTTGCTTACAATTACAAGAAGTCCAACTTTATTTAACGACTTGCAAATATATTTGATAAAAACAAAACAACCTTTTGAATACTATCAAAGATAGTATAAAAATTTGTATTTTAATGTGAAATGAATAGCGAAATAAAATTTGTTAATTATGCTTCTATTATATCAAATTTGTATTATATTTTGAACAGCATTTATGATTGTATATTGTATTTTAAATTGTTATTATTGTAATATTGAATTCTATAAAGAATTTCAATAAAAGATAATATCAAACAAATTATGTAATATGATTGCTAATTATTGTATTGTATTTCGCTATTTATATTGCAATGATTAGCAAAATATAATAAAATAATTAGACATAAAAATAAAAAAATATACTTACCTGCAAAAATGGACTACTAAATTTATTAGTAATTCGTTTTTTTATGGGTAAGTATACTTACAAAGAAAAGAGGACCGCCGATAAAATCGGCGGGGGTGGTGGAGGGCCTCTAACTCGTTTTTGCTAAATTAAATCTTAATTCAACGATATGTGATTGAAAAGTTTGAAGTCTATTCGAAGACTATAATTGCTAGTGATTAGTGATTACAGAGATTTTGGAATATATTTACATACTAGTAATTATGTTTGGCAAAAACGGGCTAAAAATTTGCATAAAAAAACGTAATTTGTGTTATCTCAAGTGAAGACAAAAAAAATTTTAAACCAGATCCGGTGACACTGTGAGCCTTAGCGAATTATTAGACGAAGGTAACAAAGCGATCTTAATTGTTAGTTTGATACTTTTATTTTATTTCTAAAAATTTAATTATGTGTATTGTACTTCAGGTTTGAAGAGAGCACTGCAGAAACTGAAAGAGAAAGAACACGACAGAGTATAGTCGCAAGAAAAGCTAAAGGCAGTGACTTTGATCTTAACAAATGTTATCCAGGACATGATTCTGAACGACATTCAAGAGGTTTTAGCCGTCAGTCGGGACACCTTGCGTAATGCTAATGCCGGCGGTACTATAACTTTCAAGCTTTGTAACTCCAAAAGTATTTCATGAAAAAATATTTTATTATAGTGTTTTGGAAAGCTCTCGAGATGTGCTATAAGAATATGCAATGAAAAATAAAGTGTTCCATTTAAAAAAATTGATCTGACCTTGACCTAATCTTGAAGACGCCACGCAAGGTCAAACGGATATGATCAGTAAATAGATCTTTTGGAACCCTACAACTTTTGTCTGAAACACTTTTCTGTAATACTTATATTTTCTATGATATTCAGATGTCCCGGTACTTTTTCCCCACCCTATGTATATATATATATATATAGTGTCAAAAGTCGGGAAAACAATCGAATATCTCGAAAATAAAGCATTTTTGTGCAAATTTTATGCACAAAGTGGGATTTTGCTACACCGTCTCAAAGAGACCGTGTAGAATTAGCGTGACATTTAAAATTTGAAAATAAAAGTCAAGCGGGAACAGGGTTTTAGCATAATAATGGTACAGTGTACACCATGGTGTGCACCACTCTAGAGTAGTATAGCAGGCACTGTAACTGAATATAACGCTTACACGCAATTGGTGCGGTGTGAGACTGCACCCAGTGTATCCCAAGAGAAAACGCTATTAGTTTGCATCTAACCACGTCCTACTCCATCACATATTACTATAATTCCATTACGAATTTCAATATAATATTTTAGAAACATATTTTTAAGACTCCAAACATTACAAAAAAATGTAAAAAAGAAAAAAAATCGATTTTTGTAACCCATTAGTGGTGTTCCCCTTTAAGACGCCCTCTAGGGCTGCGTTCCACTTAACGCTTATAACGCTCGTGGAATCATTTCATCCTTGTCGTTTATAAAATGTTAAACAAGGACAAACGATGCTCGCGAGCATTGCGAACGTTAAGTGGAATGCAGCCTAGATGATATGGCTAATGTTCATGCCAACTTTGCACACATTCGCTAAATATTGGTCTATATTCAATATGGATAATTATGTATATCAAGTCTGTGTATAATATTTGCTAATATTGGCGAACTATATCGATCGCCTTTGATAACCTTCGGAAGCTTCATTAATTGTAATCGATATCAAGATTTTTCTAAATAAGACATCATCTAAACAGATTTTTTTCTATCATATTTATTATCATATTCTCTTATAATTCTGTGTTCAATTGGCATAAATGTGGCATAGTAATAATTAAAAAGAGACTCCAGAGTAGAGCGCATCATAGGCCTTTATAAGTAGAACATTTCTCAATCTATAATCTACATACATACATACATACATATACATATATTATAACAGGATATACTTTATAAATATTGTTTAACTTTGTAATAATCTCTCCGCTAATAGATCGCAACATTTATTGACATTACATTAATAATTATTACCAGTATTGTTCATTGATCAACGCAAATTTCTGATTTGAAAGCGTTTCTTTATCACAACTGTAGAACAACGATTGCGATAAATTTTGCAATACTGGTACATTATAATTGTTGTACCTGTATTACAATTCAACAAAAGCAGTCCTAATTGAATTTGTCAAAGAGAGAGCTGAACATTTTTTCATATATATCATGAATATTATATATTAAAAAATTACATTAAATATAGCATCTGAATTGGCAATTGATAAAATGAAGAGTGCATAAGAGTGCATAAACCGATAAAAGTACAGATAAATAAGTTAACAAAGGAAGAATAAGTATCAGACTGTATACATCTAGCGAGTTTCTGTATATATCTAGCGATTTTATTTTACATTCAATACCATTGATTAGAGATTTAAGAAATAATAATATTGAATAAATAACTTTATATCACTGTTACACATCGATAATACATTTAAAGAGAATTAAGTCAAATGTGTCATGACATTTATAGATTTAATGTCTCTATTATAATAGAATTTTTTAGAAGAAATAAAAGTATGCTGAGAACAAAAACAATTTACACATAAGATGTCAATTTGAATATGGTAAATTTCAACGAGGAAAAAAAATAACAAAATACTAATAACAAGAAATGTACAGGAATATCACGATCCTTTTCTGTGAAGATACAGCTTCACAAATTCCTTTTTATTACTAATAAAGAATAATGATGATATATTTCTAGAGCTTTGCTAAAGACTCGATTACGATACCATTGAAAGGCTCGATTATACAGCTTCGTGCGATTTATATCAATATTGCCAAAATGTCTCATACGATTTCTGATTATGTATTCGCGCAGGCACTTGATAACTCGGTCTGATCAAGACTCTTCGTGCTCTTATTAATACACGAATACTTTCATTGTTATTCAACTGACAACGGGATACTTGCTTAATTTCTGCCCGAAATGCTTTCGCTTAAAGAGAATTGACTCTGTGTTCGTTATTTAGTTAAATAGCCTAATTTTATACCTCGAGATCATTCATGGCTTCATAAATGGTATTACTGATGGAATTGAAGCTAATGGCAAATTAAGAATTCAGGAATGTTATCTCTTTTTGTTAAATATCAACCATTTAGACGTGTAGTTTACTTAAATCATTCAGGAATGATTTTGGTGTAATTATATGGGATGAACCTATAAAAATACATAAATATTTTATAATAATAGATAAATTTTCAATCATGTTTTGGTTATAAATTGTTTTTTATCTCAAATAGAAATTGGATACAAAAAATTCTTACCGATTATGACTTCCCAATTTTTTAATGCGTTTGTAACTTCATATGCACATCGTATTTCAGAGAAGCACATTCCTCCAACTATAAAAACAATCAAACGAGGAACGTTTTTGATAGTCTGTTGACCTTTGTCTTTGTGCCAGTGTCCATATCGTGCGCTACAAGTTTACAAATGATTAATATTTTTAAAAACCTAATAATAACAAATTGATGTAGATAAAGAAAAAGTAGCATTATTGCATACCTGGTTGGTGCATGATATCCTGAACTAGCTGCACGGCCGGCAAGAAACGGAAAATGTTTAGAATCAAGTTTATCTTCAATAGAATCCTCCATAACGTCCTTGATGACTGGCGTCCAACGGCTCATTTGATAAGTTTGCTCTGTGATTCTTTCCTTTCGTGGTACCGTATACAACTTTTTACGATTGCTCTATAAAACAACATTGTAAAAAATAGAATTAAATCATTATTTAAAATGCTACTATAAAACTTTTTAATATGAGATATGATCTGCAACTTACATCTACAACAACATTAATGCCGAGATTTGCCATATTGACAATAGTCTGTTTATCATCAACAGATACTTGGGCATGGTGAACTAAACGATTAAGATTCTCATCCGTGATACCGTTTTTGCTAATGACGTATAAAGCTATAATGCGTAATTTATCCAAATGATTTACAGTCTGATCAAGTAAAATCGGTGTGATATTCCTCATATGATCTTTGATACGTTCGCCTTCTGCATCAGTACCCATGGCTAAGTCCTAGAACACGATTAAAAATACTTATAATTAAAAGATATCTCTTATTAAATGGATTATAGGGTAGTGATTATGATATTACGCACTTGCTCCACTTTACAAAGTTTATCTACATTTCCTTGATAACGCTTCATGCAATCTTCGGCTAATTGTAAATGTGTAGCATATTTGCTCAATTCTTTTTGATATTGCGGCATCTTTTTGATCATTTGCGACAAGTCTCGCATACTTTGCTTATCGCCCTGCGGCATTCTTTTTGATTCTGTAAACTTTTTCAAATTTTTAGTGACGTTCCTGGAAAATAACGTTTTATTGTTACACAATATTCTTTATAATTATTAATCTTTTGAGGAAAGATTAAAACTTATATTTATACATACTGAGAGACTACGGCAATATGTTGATGCCTAAGTTCAACCCATAAATCATCATTTTCATCCAATAATACTTCTTTTTCTTGACCCGCTGTTGCCTCAAACCTATTTAATATTATAGTTTTATTAACATTAAAGTTTTATTTTAAATTTGTGCAATATAGTTTTGTTAAATATATTTACTTACCTGTAGACATCATTATCAATGTCTAGCAAATCATATGCCATAGCTTGCAGTGTAAGTTCATGTAGTAAAGGTGAGACGCAATCAAATCCTCTGTCTAAAATCAATAATTGAGAACGAGCTTTCTCAGGTCCTTCTCCCATTGTTGGTTCATCAGCTTTGTATGCATCTAGTTTCTGTTGCACCAATTGAGCGAGTTCAACATTGCGGTCGAAGTCACTATGATACATATTAATAGCATTTATTTAGTGCTATCAAAAATTGTGTAATTATTCTTTATCGACAAGAGAAGAAATCACAATTAACAATAAGTTATTAATGTTTTTAAATCACATTTAGATTGAAATTACCTGCGATATCTAACTGATGGATATTCTCCAAGTGTGGCGCAAAGTGTTGCAATTTGTTCAGCAATACGCTCCATATTGGCTGACCTCAGATTAAAGAAAGAGGGGTTGTAAAAGCAAGCAAAAGTTTCACGCGAGTCCAATGAGAAGACCTAAGAAAACAGCAGATTCAGTTTGCGATATTCTCAATACGACAAAGAAAAGTAAATTTAATTACAAAGTTTTGTACTTGAAGCAAAAATAAATAAGCATGCCAATTAGTAACTTTAAAAATAACAAAATCGGGCTATACGGATAATTCGATTAGTGATCACATTACAAGCATGTACGTACAACATACAGATATTTTGAGTCAAAAGGAAAAGTGGTGTGAAGAAGACTTTCCTCAACAAGAAGTCTATATCGCCTAATTTTTTGCGATCTAAAAGTAAACTGACGATCCGGAAAAAGCAGAGAAGCTCTCTAAGCTTGTGAATGCTCGAAGATTGAAGATAAATTTCGCGCTCTAGAGCTACAACTAGCGTCTATTATTTTCGTCTGCTTAATCGTCACCTGCGATTCGTACGGCAAGAATGCGATGTTGATCTCTTTGAGGGTTTTGATCTTTTTAGCAGCAAGAGACTTGCAGATTTCATTGAACAGCTCCTCCGGGCATACTGGCATCAATTGCAAGCATGAATGCATTCTGATTATTAGTATGTGCTTGTTTATGAATAATGTGAAAGGCTTAGAGGATGGATTGGACAGATTGGATGAGAGGATAACGCTGTATCAATATCGTCCCGATTTACATCCAGACCCGTGCGATAATATCAAATTTATGTGATTAAAGACCGAGAAGTGAACATAGAACGCGTGAATGAATAATTATTTTATAGCGTTTTGTATATGTGTCTCTGTACGTGTGTGTATGTCCACCACCATGAAGGACGAAACGGTCAAACATTTTTTCTTGCCATAGTGTTCGTTGCTTTACCTGCTCTTCATATGGTATGAAAGCGATGTTGATCTCTTTTAGTGTCTTTATGTGCTTAGCTACCAGCGAGTGACACAATTCTTTGAACAACTCGTCAGGGCATGCTGCAAAGAGATATACTGAGTATGTCAAAACACGAGAAATTAAAAAGAAATCGAACCGATAATTTTGTACGATCGTTCTTCTCAAAACATCAGTGAGCTTATTAATTTATATTTTAAGAGAGAATCACTAAACACCCGTATCGCTGTGAATTTAGATGATCGGATACCCTCGCATGGAGACCTGTTGTGGGAATTAGTAGGATATATAAATAGGTTCAATTTAACGAATTTCGAATAACTTGGGTAAAATATTTAAGATGTCTAATTATACGTATATTATCATTTAATATTATATTTAATATATTAAAAATTAAGAGTCAAGTATATTAAAAATGATTTAATAAATTAATAACTAAAGCATTTAACTAAAACCATGTTACAATAAATTTAAATTTGAGTAAATATTAATTCATACTGAATTATATTTAAATAATCTGTACATACCACAAATTGTAAAATTAATAAAACGAGATCGAGATAATTCTGTATACTAATTCATTCAGAAAGAATTTTTTTTCGAAATTTCTGAGAAGTAGTTAATCTACATTTTACTTTTTGCTTTTTCTATTTTGACAGACAATTTATGAAATTGCGCAGTCATTCGGAAAAAAAAAATAGATAGTTTGGATTCATTTTTGGAAGAGGATATCCTTAGAGAATATAGGATTAAATGTAGGAAATATACCTTCTGTGAAGTATACATGGGCGACTTTGTAAGTTGTTCTTGTCGGATTACTGAAGTCATCGATCAATTTCTGCACCGACGGATTACAAGGCGTAATGAGGTAAATGGCTTCCATCGTCGGCAGAGGTTCGCGCTTCTTATTGATATCCTCCACCAGGGTAATACCCTGAGCGCTGATATCGTGCATCTTGCAGCAAGCGGACACCATTCTCATTGCAAGCTGATCCACTACCAAGATTCGCCATTCTACCCCACCTGTTGACTTCTTCTTTTGCTTGATCACCTCGTTCATAATCTCTGCGACATGAGAGAATTAATTATCCCGATGATAAATTCGCGCGTAGAGAATTGTGAACTTATATTGTGAACTCTATCTGAGGCTAGAATAATTATTTCAACTTGGGCAACAATACAAGAACTAAGTAATTGAAGCAACTATTAATTTTATATTTTACAAGATTTCAAACATGAAATTTTAATAAGCAAATTTTATAAGCAACTTTATCTCTTTTTAACGAAATGAAAATTATAAAAGAAAATTATAAAAGAATATTCTTTGCTGCAACTGTACAAAAGTGTAATATTTATATCACACTTTGTAATAGAGAAATCAATACTTTAATAATTACATTTCTCTCGCACGGAATATATACGGTGCGTGTTTCACTGAATATATGAACCAAACGAATACGTATCACTTTTTTTTTTGCTTCAACGACACAACTCAATAAATATTATTTTTTTAGCTTAGAAAAAAAGCAGAAAAAGAATGAAAATACGAAAAAAAAGGAAAATTAATATTACAAAATGTAATGATTTAAAATATTCAAACTCATTTTCTAGAAAACTTTGTTTGTGTTATAGCAAATCAGTAGCGATAATTAAATAAAAAAGATATATTATTTCAATCGATTAACTTCCATTTGTTGATCATGTTATTCAAGTCTAAATGTTAACGCAATATTCTGTCTGCATCTATGACTACTACACTCTTTTCATATTGAAATTTTTGAATAATATACTGTTATATTAACTTTTTAATTCTGTGACGAGGACAAGATTGATGTAAAGAAGTTTATGATACTGAATGATTGTAAGTTGCTGTTTACTGAGAATGGTTCTATGAGAATCGAAACGCGCGTTTGGAGAGAATTTTAAATATATTATAATATATAAATCTGAATTTCTTACACTAACAGCTTGTTTAAGAAGGCTGATTGCCCTTTATTGATACTTATTTGAAATTTTTAATTCTTTGAGCCATTAGAGACTTTGTAATTTAAAATAAGAATATCTTTATGGATGCCTCTATATAATTCGCAAATCGCAAAATGTAGATTGTAAATGCTGACGTAGAATGACAATCAATTATCGCACGCAAGATACACGCAGGATGAAAACCAACCGTACAAAATGAAAACACAAATTTTCATTCTGCATCTGCGTTTGCGAACTATGTCTTACGACGTAGAGACACCTTAATATTGCAATAATTGACTCGATAATTGCTATCTAAGATCTTTTGTTTAATACTAGAACTGATAGTGATATTTTGGCTGCACTAATTATTTCAATTTTCTTTTATATTCGATATACGAATACAAAAATATTAATAGAAAATTGTAAACATAAAATAAATAATTCTAATATATAAATAATATCAAAATAACTTTTCACCAGGGTTGGGTAAGTTACTTTTTTCTTTTAACTAAGTTAAGTTAAAGTTAACAACCTTGAAAATTTAACTTAGTTAAGATACAAGTTAATGTATAATGAAATTAATTGAATTAAAAGTTAAGTTAATAAAAAAAAGTAATTGAAAAATTAAAAGTTAAATTTTTTTCTATTTTATGATTTCAGAGTCTTACAAATAACGGAAATGACAAACATATACTTCATTTAGAATATACTTTATATTTTATTTAAACTTTTTGTTTATATATGTACTGTTATATATATATAGATTTCTACCTATCAAAAACCAGATACATTAAAATATACGGTTTTTGCTAAATTGAAATCAATACATAATGTAAATAATGTATACAAACAAAACTTTTAAGTAAAATATAGAGTATGTTCTAAATGAAGTATATGTTTGAGTCTGAGACTTAACTTCAACAAATTTAAATAAAAAGTTAATAGTTATCGATAAAATGTAACTAAATAAAGTTAAAAAGTTAAGAGTCTAAAATGTAACTAAGTTAAGTTAAAATTATTTAACTTTTCAACTTTTTAACTTAACTTTTAGCTTTTTAACTTGGCACTACCCAACCCTGCTTTTCACAAAACAAAAATGAGAGTAGGAAATAAACAAATTGATTTTGACGATTTTAGTGAGATAATAGAATTATGTTCTTTAAACTTTGCTAGTTCTAGTTTAAATAATACAATCAGATTACGTTTGAAAAGTAAAAGATAAGAGCTTGTAATTTTCTTATAATATTATTTTATTTAAGAAATCGTTGGAAAAAAAATTAATAATCAGAGGAAATTAATTGTAGCTCCAACGAAAATGAGTAAGCACCATTAACTCTTCACACGAGTCATTGACAGCTGTTGATATCGCAATGATTGATTGATAATTAACCAAGCTGATGGACTAAGAGGTCCTTTGACGTTTTCCAACACGTATATTGATCGTCTTTACAGAGAGATGACGTCACTGTGTACAGGCACGTATCAACGAAGTCGCAAGCCTCGTTTTTTCGATATTCTCATAAGTAAAAAAATCAATTATTTATACGTGTACAAGACACGTAAAAAGATCTTTCTTAATCTCTAGTACAGAAAATAAAAACTTTGCGACTTTCAACGATGTAAAAAAAAAACAAAAGGTATTTTTTAGCCGGATAACTTCTAAGAAATTTTTATATGAAAATCAGATAATTAATTTCTAAAATAATTTTTATATAGATAAAAAAAGTTCGAGTCAATAATATTATACCGTATTATATTGTATCCAATACATCAAATAATTTTGCTTTACGAAAGTTTCTGTAATATTGACAATATAAAATCTTTATTTTTTGTATTAATATTTATGGAATATTTATTTCATTTAATATTTTCACGCTTTTAAAAACTACGCGTATGTAACATAAAATAATTCTGTACGTATATTGATTTTGCAAACGTATAGAAATGCAATAGCAAATTAAATAGATAGTTTCATTTACACACATTTTGATAACATCTTGAAATCCGACATGTACTGCTCTGAAAAAGCAACAGTTTTATCGAGGAATATCGAGGTGCGCCGTAGAAACACGATCGAAAACCTCACCGCTGAATGAGTACTTGACATTTTTGCCAAATTTTTAGTAAATTAAACACAAGTTAAACTTAATTGGAACGAGCGTTTCCTCCAATTCTTTAACATCAGATAATCGTGCGTCTATGAACAATGACTGACGTTTATAAGAATGTTTGTAAAGAATGTTTTACATTTACACCTCGATATTCGTCAATTCATCAATTATGCAGATACCAAATTAGTAACAATTCCAAGATAATAAGCTCAGTTTTTGACGTCGCAAGCACGCAGAAATGATTTGTGTTTAGGTGAGATGATCGACACGCGACGATCGTGATAAGGTATATTTTTCCGTATTTAGCATCAAGAATTGAACTCGATAGTGGACCGATCGCTAGGTCAGAATTCTCGCAAGATGCGACGAAGATTGGATATGTATCTCGAGCATGTTCACGCTCGGCAGTAGCGTTTGACATTTCTCCGTCGTCCAATGTCTCTGGCTCCAGCCACCCGATGATATCATCGGGGAGCGTGTACGCCCAATTAAGACGGATCTCTTGACGTGATTGCGAGATCGGCTGACGCGAGATCGACGCGATTGAGACGCCGCGCGAGTCGCCTGACGATGACGCGCAATAATGTTTACAAATAAATCCTATGCCGCGCGAAATTAACGCTTTTTTTACGTTACTCACTTTGACCGACTTGTCCCTTGAGCGCCATTTTGACAGGACTGACTATCGGTTCGTTCGCCAGATGGCGACGCGCGAATCGCGATGCGCTGATAATCTCGAGTTGCGGCGCGAAGTTGGCCGAGTGTCTGTTTCGCTTCGATCGGCGCCTGCGCACCCGCCCCCTACGAGGAGCACTCAGAACGTTAAAACTCAGTACGGGGACGCGCCACCGGCGCCACTGGCCACTGCTTCGTCGTTATTATTAGTGATCCCGTTCGCGCGCGCGATTAGCCAACTTTTTCACGCGTCTTTTGTTTTCCTCCTTTTCTTTTCCCTCTCGCTTCGAGGAGAAAAAGATACCTTACTGAAAAAATCATGTCACAACGTTACACGATGAAATCATGTACGTAATTAGAACAATGTAAATCATGTAAATCACGTATTGTATGATTGGTTTATATTACATTTGAAATTCAGTGAGGAACTAAGGGAAAAAACCAATATTAGTTGCTTTCCATTTAGACACAAGTGAAACTGAGTCTGAAGTGAGCTGAGTATTTCATACTCAGATTAATGGCGTCATTATTTGCTTACTTTGATAAAAAGTTATCACATGACAACACAGGTTTGTAACTTCACTTTTAAAATGAGTTTACGAGACTCACTAAAGTACACGGTCTCGATCTTGTGCAGATTGTAGGTAAAAACTCAATTAAATTTCACTTTTCAGAATGCAAAAGGAACGCGCTGAGTTATGACGTCACAAGTGAAAATTATCTGAGAATCGGTGTAAATGGAAAGCAACGATTGTATAAAGATCTCACAACGGTGAACAGTTGCAGAGCTATTTTTGCTGTTCAACTATTGAGATTTGATTGTTTAATAAGTTGAGGAGATTATGCGCAAAGCTTGGAGAATTATGGTCGTTAAATCACGGTGAGATGGAATAAAGTGGATAAGAATCGAAGTTCACGTTTCATCGCGATAATCTTTTTGTGGCATCGCGACCTGCTCTAGTTTCGACTGTCACTCCCTAGAAATATTAATTCGGAACCAAGCACGCGACGACTTTAATAGATATCTTAGATGTTTATGATAGACGATTTAAATATCACTTTTTGGTTATTTTAAAAGTTCTCATGATTAACATTAATGTATGTATAATGCACATGCATGAACATTTAATATTAAATTATAAAATAATATAAAGTTTTTTTGCTGTGAGATTTTAGCTAGAAGTTAAATACGTAGCCGCAGAATGTTACGAGCTGCACGAATGCACGTGAATTTAAAATTGCCTGTTTCGATTAAAAAAGAAATTTTGATAGACTCGTGTACAGTGTTGTGCAGTACCTAGGTACAAGTACCTAGGTATTGTAACTAACAAGTAAACCTACCCAAGTGCCACCCGCCGATCTTAATGAAGCTTGGCATACTTTCAAAATACCGAAAAATATTGGATACGTATTTTTTTATACGTCCCCATAAAG